AATGAAGAACAATCCCAACCAGTGGATTCTTGACTATAATGCCCACCTTGTCTTCTCTTGTGTTCTCTTGCATAAAGCTTGCAGTGTGACTTTTCTTTATTTTTATTCGGAGAGGGTGGTTTACGTGGAGGTGGAAAGTAAAGAACTGTTTATTCACATCTATGCAACGCAAGCCAAATAGCAAAGGAGAAAGTGCGTGCTCTCTCATTCAGGAGTATAAATCCTGCTGCTTCATACTTAGGAGGAAGCCAGGTGTCTCAAAGCCAGTGGAATAAAGCATAAGGGCTGGGCACTTGGACCTCAGCCCAAACGCTGCAGAGATCATCTTCCACGGGAATGTATTTGACATCAGGAAACCACTGTTCACCGACTCTAAACTTGGCCAGGCCATTCCCAATGACTCGTGAAGCCATTGGTAAGTACAAGGGGACAGAGAAGGACAATACTGGTAGCCTTAGGCAGGTTCTGATTTTGTAATCCAAGAAATGCTGAGAAAAAAACCTACCACATCTCAAAGGAAAAGGAAGGCTGAACTATTCAGGGGCTGCAAATGAAAGACCTTTTTCTTGGTACTACCTTCTTTCTTGTGTATGACAGCTCATCACAGCACTCTTTCCTGCCCAGCCAGGATATCTTCTGAGAATCCGTCTCAAAGTAATGTTCCAAGGAGGCCTTACCAACTGGCTGAAGTCAACCTCAGACTGATTTCACATCCTTGATTTATGCTGTAGGATAGCGGCATTTCTTTATTGGGGAAAGCACTGTGCTGGACCCCAGAAGAGTAGGAACAGTAATTGCTTGTTTTTTTTCTGGAAGGTCTGCCTAATACCTTGAAAACATGGGTGTAGTACAAGTAGACTGTTATTTTCTGTGGAGAGATCATATGATAGATCTATGGAAAAGTAATGTCTTCCTCATGCCTGCCTTGTTTGCACCAGCATTCCAAGCGCTTAGCTGTCTTTGACATGTAGTTAATACTCAGTACATATGTGCTGAATTAATAAATGAATGAAAAAAATGGCCGGGAGCAGTAGCTCATTCCTTTAGTTCCAGCACTTTGGAAAGCTGAGGTGGGCAGATTACTTGAGCCCAGGAGTTCTAGACTAGCTTGGGCAACATGAAGAAACTCAATTTCTTATTAAAAAAAAGAATTAGTTGGGCATGGTAACCAGCTTCTTGTAGTCCCAGCTACTCAAGAAGCTGAGATGGAAGGATCAGTTGAGAACAGGAGGTGGAGATTGCAGTGAGCCGATATTGCACCCACTGTACTCCAGCCTGGGTGACAGAGTGAGACAATGTCTCAAAAAATTGTCAGCAATTCATGGTGACATGATTTTCAGGTGTTCCATGATCTGAATATGTTTAAAAACCACTTTGCCCTGCCAATTCCTATATTTTAGAGCAATAGTTCTTCAACTATAGCATGCAACAGAGTTACCTAGAAGGCTTGTTAAAACACTGATTGCTAAGTCCTACCCTTAGAATTTCTGATTCAGTAGGTTTGCAGTTCCCACAAGTTCTCAGGTGATACTGTCGGTCCATGACTACACTTGGAATATTTAGGGCATAATTTCTTGAGATTAAGATGCCTTTTATTTGCTGTGGTGGATCCTTCTAACCAAATATCCTCCAAAAGTTGGAGGACTTCATAAGAGCCACTGGTGTACATCGTAACTCATTAAATCATGTGAAACCCTGTGAGGGGTGTACTATGTTTATCCCCACTCTGAGGCAGAGATAATCTGAATAGTAAAAGAATAACCAGCTCTCGGACTCAGGGAGTCTGGCTTCAGAGTCTTAAACATAACATGATACTGACTTTTATGAAAAAGGCTGAGGTACAGCTCTCCAACCATGTAGTTCTGAGCAAGGTTGAGAAAAACAACTGAAGAGATTCCAAAGGCCTGTCTCATGGATCAGAAGAGAAGCAAGCAATGGGCTCTCTTTCCCTGCCTGTCTAGCTGTCACTGCTTAGGGCAAAGTGAAACTTCCTTCCTCAGAGGGCATAGCAAATGACTGGAAACAGCCTAGATGTTTCTTTATTTGAAGAGGACTGATAAAATGCACAACATAAAGGCACATTAGTTCAATGGATGGATCACAGCTGCCAAAAAAAAAAAAAAATAGGGAAGTGGTTTATGGACTAGTAGATAAATAGTACCAAGATGTATTGCTAATTTTTGAATAGGAAAAAGTAACACATTTGTGTTTGTCTACATGTGCATATTCTAGAAGGACACATACAGGACAAATAATAGTAGCCATCTGGAAGAAAGGGCACTAGGTGATTAGGGACAGGAATGGGAGGGTGGCGTTTTTCTTTTTCCTTATATATATTTTCGAGTTTTGAAATAATAAAATTATTAACATTTAAAAGTAGGTGATATGGTTTGGCTGTGTCCCCACCCAAATCTCCTCTTGAGTTGTAGTTCCCATAATCCCCACATGTCATGGGAGAGACCCAGTGGAAGGTAATTAAATCATGAGAGGTGGTTACCCCCATGCTGCTGTTCTGGCAAGAGAGTGAGTGAGTTCGAGTTAGATTGATGGTTTTATAAGGGGCTTTTCTCTCTATGCTTGGCACTTCTCCATCCTGCCATCATGCAAAGAAGGACATGTTTGCTTCCCCTTCTCCCATGATTATAAGTTTCCTGAGGAAACTTTCCTTTATAAATTACCCAGCCTCGGGCAGTTCTTTATAGCAGTGTGAGAATGGACTAATACAGTTGGTGATAGATTTTCTGTGATTTTTCTTATTTGATTACCCAGGGAAAATTTTCACCTTGGGTGCATTTCCCGTTCATTCCCAGAATCTCTTAGATCCTTTCTGTTTACCCAGTTAGAAGTCCATTGCTGCCTGGTGGGTTGTGTTTAGGGCTTGTGAAACATAGTTTTGATGGTGTGTGTTTCAGTGACTTTAAAATTATTTTTGCATTGTATGTAAATTACTAAATGTAAACAATTTGGAAGAAATAAAAAGCTTATTTCTCAGGAAACAGTACCTACTTCAATAATAATGGCACCTTACATTTATATAGCACTTTATTGCTTATAAAATCCTTTCACATGCATTAGGTCATTTATACCTCACAGCAGCTCTGAGAGGTAGCTATTATAGTTTCCATTTAATAGATGAAGAAACTGAGGCTCAGAGAGTTTCAGTAATTTGTCCAAGGTCACAAAGTTATTAAACAGTAGAGCCGGGGCTGGTACTCAGCTATTCTGACTCTAAAGCTAGTGAATTTTTTCCTCTGCCTCTTTTTTCCATTGTAAAAAGAGAAAAACTAATATGTTTTTTAAAAAAGAAAAATTTTGAAACATCCATAATGCCACGATTCCAACAAAAACATTATCAAATTTGCATATTATCTTCCAGGGTTTGTCATTGTGCCGACAACAGCTATCTAGTTACAATCATAATATATGTACAATTATGCATTCTGTTTTCCCCCCACTTTGCTTTACTACCCTGAAGCATTTTCCAAGTTGCAACATAATTTTCATAATTAGCAAATTAATAGGTTCATATTTCATCAAGAACGATACTACGGCAATCTGGTACTCTTTAAGATGGATTCATTTGATTTATTCATTCATTCAACAAATAATTATTAAGGCCCTACCATGTGCCAGGTCCTGTGCCAGCAGTCAAGGACATGCCAGCAAGAGGCACACACAGGGGAGTGACACTGACATGGCCTCAAGGTGAGGAAGCAGCAGGTCAGGGGGTTGTTACTAAAAAATACAAAACTACTGTAAACACCTTTGTGCTTCCAGTTTTTCTTGTTTTTTTTTAGAACTACTTTTTTTTTTTTTAACACAAAGTGAATTATACTTTTATGGCTTAAAATGTCTATATTCCTCTACACTGCTACCAGAAATACATGCCTGTACAGCTTCATTATAACCTCACCAACACTGAATATTTTTGGTGGAAAATAATGTTTGTTAATTTTACAGCTAGAAAATGGTGACCCATTGTAGCTTTAATTTGCATGTCTTTGCAAATGTGATGTTTATATTTTTCCATAGACTTGTTTATTAATTGTATTTCTTCTTGTTCAAATTGTCTGTGTTTTGTCCTTTGCCTAATTGTCCACTAAGGTCTTATTATTTTCTTGTCTATGTATGAGAGCTCTTTATATAATTTATTTTAGTAATATTTCAATATCATTTAAAAATGGACTTGAACTGGTTTTTTTAAAAAAATTATACTCTAAGTTCTGGGATACATGTGCAGAACGTGCAGTTTTGTTACATAGGTATAAACATGCCATGCTGGTTTGCTGCACCCATCAATCAACCCATCATCTTCATTAGGCATTTCTCCTAATGCTATCCCACCCCTTCCCCTCATCCCCAGTAGGCCCTGGTGTGTGATGTAACCCTTCCTGTGTCCACATGTTTTCATTTAAACTGGTGTTTCACATTGTAAAGATGATACAAACATGACAATTTGACATTTTTTACTGATTTTCTTTTTAGTCTATTTGCCTTTTCATTTTAATATTTATAATTTTAGAAAAATTTTAACATGAGCTCTTTCTTTTATTTTATTTTCCTTTTTTTTTTTTTTCTCTCGAGACAGGGTCTTGCTCCATCACCCAGCCTGGAATGCAGTGGTGCTATCAAGGCTCACCACAGCCTTGACCTCCCAGGCTCACTGCAGCCTTGACCTCCCAGGCTCAAGCAATCCTCCCACCTCAGCCTCCCAAGAAGCTGAGGCTCCAGGCCCGGCCACCATACCAGGCAGCTTTATTTTTAATTTTTTGCAGAGATGGGTCTTTATGTTTTCCAGACTGGTCTCAAATTCCTAGCCTCAAATAATCTTCCCCCCTCAGCCTCCAGGCTGGTCTGGAACTCCTGCGCTCAAGTGATCCTCCTGCTTCTACCTCCCAAAGTGCTGGCACTATAGACATAAGCCACCACACCTGGCCCCCTTAATTCTTTTATTATTATTATTATTATTATTATTATTTTATTTCCATGATTTTTTGAGGAAAACGGGGTATTTGGCTACATGAGTAAGTTCTTCAGTGGTGATTTATGTGATTTTGGTGCACCCATCACCCAAGCAGTATACACTGAACCCACTTTGTAGGCTTTTATCTGCCACTCACATTCCACCCTTTCCGTCTGAGTCCCCAAAGTCCATTGTATCATTCTTACGTCTTTGCATCCTCATAGCTTAGCTCTCACTTGTAAGTGGGAACATACGAAGTTTGGTTTTCCATTTCTGAGTTACTTCACTTAGATAATAGTCTCCAATTCCATCCAGATTGCTGCAAATGCCATCAAATGTGATGCTTCCAGATTTGTTATTTTGCAGTTAAGACATACATTATTTTGGTAAAAAATTACACATAATTTATATATCTAATTTTTCTATTTAGGAGAAGAAACATTTTTTCTTCTACCTAATCAATTGACTTCTCTCTCAGCATATAAGTAATATATCTCTCTTCAAAAATTTGTATTTTGTATTTTTGGTAGCTATTCAGGAAGAAATTAATCAAAGATTTAACTGGTTATTATTGGCATACTGGAATGTGATTGATTTTTATGTTTATTATGCATCTAGAGAGAGAAAATATTATCTATGAAAGTAAACAGCTTTTTAGTGAATTTTTTTGGCTTTTTAAAGTATGCAATCATGTACCCTTCACAAATAATTTTATTTGAATCTCATTCTGATAGTAACGTCTGCTTAATTTCTTAAGATAACATATCTAGGAAATGGTGAAACTGGACCCAGCACTGGAATCTGTTGGAGAGATGAGTCTGTGCTCAGATGTCCTGTTTATTCAAGAATGTTTCAGGCAAGCTCAGGGCAGATCTGGCAGGTACAGCGTGGCCTGCTGTGGTAGGCATGGACCCATTGCTCTAGGCTAAGCAAATCTCACTTCTCAGGGACTCATGGGATCGAGGTAGTTGATTTCTAAGAATCTGACCAACTCGAAGATACTCTGAAATTGAATTACATTGGAAAGGTTATCTAGAAAGCATCAATTTGGGGCAGACTTTTTAGATAAGAGAAACCGAGTGATGAGACTTGCTAGAGGAAGGAAGTGTGTGAGGTTGTTAGAGCAGCAGTTATCACTAAGAACAAAGAATTGATATAAATATCTGCTCTTCCTTTTGTTATGCTGTGTGCCAGGGCAAAATAGTTGCCTCTTGTTTGGGGGTTCTTCCACACAAATCTGTGTAATTAACATTCTTGTCTAGATGGTCTTATCTGAGAAGACTGAAAAGTTCATGTATCATTGCAGTGGTGTTTTATTGTATTAACAGCTTATTGTAACACTCATTGACCCACTACTGGAATTCTGTGTAAGGAGAGTGAGCCAGGCATAACGGTAAAAAACAGAGAAGAGGGATAAATGAGCAAGTCAGTGGAAAAAGAGGAAGAGATTTTTAAAATGACTTATCAATAGATACATCCTGCCTGTAATCCCAGCACTTTGGGAGGCTGAGGCGGGCAGACCACTTGAGGTCAGGAGTTTGAGACCAGCCTAGCCAACATGGTGAAGCTCCGTCTGTACTAAAAATACAAAAATTAGCCAGGTGTGGTGGTGCACACCTGTAGTACCAGGTTCTCAGGAGGCTGAGGCAAGAGAATTGCTTGAACCCAGCAGGCAGAGGCATAACATTAGGCTTAAGACTGTACTCTCTGGAGCCAGACAACCTAGGTTCTTATTCCAGCTTGCCACTTGACAGTTATGTGAACTCAGTTTCTTGGTGTTCCCATCTTTAAAATGCAGGATAATATGATTTACTTCAAAGAATTGTTGTGAAAAGTAAATGAGTTAAATAATGCAAAGGGCTTAGAGACCATCTCAGGCACATAGTAACTGGTCAAGTTTTATTACTATAATAGTTCCTAAAAACATTAAACATATACACCAGATTAGTCACCTTTGCAAAATGTTCTTTAGCCAGGTGCAGTGGGTCACGTCTATAATCCCAGCACTTTGGGAGGCCAGGGTGGGTGGATCACCTGAGGTCAGAAGTTTGAGACCAGCCTGACCAAAATGGAGAAACCCTGTCTCTACTAAAAATACAAAATTAGCCAGGCATGGTGGTGCATGTCTGTAATCCCAGTTACTTGGGAGGTTGAGGCAGGAGAATCACTTGAACCCAGTAGGCAGAGGTTGGAATGAGCCAAAATCACACCACTGCACTCCAGCTTGGGCAACAAGATCGAAACTCTGTCTCCAAAAAAAAAAAAAGATCCTTGTTATTTTTCTACCCCAGTGTTCTTGGAGGGTGCCTTTCTGAGGTGGCTCCTTGAGTGCCTCTGTAACCTAAAATTTAGGTGAAACCTTTTACTGTTAGAATTCAAAGAGCCACATTCCTTGGGTTATTTTATATTTATGAGACTTAATTCCAGTTTATGTTCCAACTTGCACATTACATTCTTTACCTGATTTATTGCTACTTGTAATAATACCATTTATAACACTTTTCATCCTTAGTTCTCTCAAGTTTTACATACCTCGATTCATTCCAGGTAAGTAAGTGGGTGGTAAGTAGCAGAATCTCTCATTTTTCAAGCAAAAAACCCTAAAGGCACAATAGTGAAGTGACGCCCAACAAATTAGGGGTAGAGTTGGTAATAAGATGATGGGGTTGACTCATTACTCAGGCCTCTGAGCTCTGAGGCACTCTCACAAAATAGCTCATTTCTTTAATAGAGTTGAGTTGTGGGGGACACAGACTCTGTGGTCAGACAGATTTGCATTCAAATCCGCTCTACCATATACAAACTGTAGAGTCTCGGGAAAAGTACCTTGAATGCTCTCAGGTTCTGTGTTTTCCTCTGTAAATTGGAAGTGATAATTTGGTCTTCTTTTATAGGCTTGGGTAGGGAAATAGGTAAGGAAGTGGTGGATCAAGTAACACATAAGAGACGATCAATGATTGTGGTCTTTTCTGTTCTTTGTGTCTTTCAGGCCATCTTCCCTTGAGCTCAGACCATTTTAAACAAAGCCTCTTGCTTAAATCTTTGAGTTAATTTTATAAAGGGAACAGTTAGCTTGACCTTCAGTAAAGTGGCTTCTGTTTGAATTCTGTTCCTCATCTATCTGCCATTGCATTTTGGATTATGTAGAGTTGCATGATCTGGCCCTGTGTTACAGGAGTTGGAACAGGGGGAAATGTGGAGCATGGTAAAGAATACTGTGGCTGGCAGGAGGCTGAGGCAGGAGACTTGCTTGAACGCAGGAGGTGGAGGTTGCAGTGAGCCGAGATTGTGCCACTGCACTCCAGCCTGGCAACAGAGTGAGACCAAAAAAAATGAAGAATATTGTGGTTGGAATTTTCTAAACTCTGGCACATCAGAAACACCTGACATACTATACAGATTTGTGGCCCCACCCCTGAGTTTCTGGTTCAGTATGTCTAAGGTGGGACCTGAAGATTTTTGCTTTTAACAATATTTAGGTGATGCTGATGAGGCTGGTCTGGGCCCCACACTGTGAGAATAACTGGATGAGGATATGCTGTGTGAGGGAGACCTGCAAAATCTCAATGGCTTACAACAACAGAGGTTTACTGCTCATACAACATATCCACATGAGTCAGCTTTTTCTGCAGACTATTATGTTTTCGTATAGTCAGCCTCTCCAAGATGCTAAGCTTCTAAGCAGCATGGTCACCATTTTGAGTTTATGTTTTTGACAGCATTTAATTCAGAATTCAATTCCCAAAGTAGACTTCTTGAGCTATACTGAGAGAGGACGATCAACAGATTTCTGGCTTTTTATTTCATGCTACTTTTCAAAATTGCTCCTTCCATATAGAAGTCTGAGGTCACATGGGCTTTTAGCGAGGGTTTTCAAAATAGGACTGATCTGTGAATCAGTAAATTAAAAATGTAAAAATTAATACATATGCAATATGTACCTATTTAGGTACACCTCGTATTGTTCAAACAAAACAAAAACCCTAAACCATCTAAAGGGAGGTGAGAGCAAATAGTCTAGTGATGAGAACCAATATAGTTACTATTTTTATATCATAAGTTTCACTCTGAGCTTCTGGCAACAATAAGAGAAGTGTGCTGGATTGTATAATTATGTCCTCACCCCTCACCCACCCACTGGCTTGATCTGTTCCACCACCATCTAGTGTGCTTCGCTTTCCAGTTTCCTTTCTCTCTGCTGGCCCTCAGTTGCTGCTTATTGTCTTCCTCAAATTCCTTTCCTGGCTGTAAGAAGTTAACATTTCTTATTTTTATTTTTCTTATACTATGTCCTTGAATTCTAAGTGAGATGTATGTATTCTTCTGGCTTTAACCCAGTGACCTCTACTAAATCACTCCTTCAGGGAGGCTGGGAGGGCAGTCTATCTTCTCCAGTGATCCTATGAGTGCAGGTCATGCTTGGCATCAGAAAGGTCACTTGGCAGGCAGCAAGGCCCGTGGTAGAACTCTAGTTCTTCAAGAGAAGAAAACCAGACTGACATAAGTGCCAGACCCTAAGGGAATACAGCTGTGCCAAATTGGTTTCCTCTTGAGTGTCGTGGCTTCCTAGAAAAAGATCCTGAAGTCACTTCTCGAGCCTGCAGGAAAGAATGCTGTGATCAATTAGTGACATCTGCTGAGATGTTTTCTATTCCTGCATTTTGTAGTAAGCCAACTACTAAGATTATATCTTAGGCCCAATTAAAAAAAAGACATGGTCCAGAATTGGGTTATATGTGAGAGTTTGTTCTCAAAAACAAGAAAGAAGCCCAGTTCCTAGAACTAGGCTAGCAAAGGACTAGACATATAGATTGATTTACTACTCAGTCACCTGAATATTGAATTGGGACTCTTCAATTATAATATATCCTACTGGTTGTGGGGCCTAGAATAAGGGCTCAGGCTATAGTCTGTGGTCTCCTCGCTCAAGCTCGAGGGAAGAAAAGTTTTGGGAGAGCCAGGCAGTATTGTTAGTAATGATATTAGCTAGTAGACACTTCGTGGTTTGCCAACTGGTGCCCCTTAAGGGTATTTTGAATACAATGGGACCTCCCTTGGAGTCTACCTCTTGGGTCCCCTCTGGCTCTCCTGTGAACAGGACGATTTTCCCACTCCCCTAATCATCAACATCCCATGACCAAAAAAACAACAGCTTCAAGATAGAAGAGACATAAGCATTTATTAAATTAATCTTTTTATAATATTTAGTATCTACTAATCAGGAGACCTAGATGCTAGTTCTAGTTCTGCTAATAACTCACTGGTTTTGGGCAAATCACTTAACTTTGCAGGGCTTCAGTTGTTTTAATTTTTAAAATAAGGGGCTTCGGTTGATCTTCATGATGGATTCATGCCCACAAAGTTTAATGAGCTTTGATTTAGCCTCCCAGGAAAGTGTTCAATACATTTCATTTATTCTACAAATGTTCATTGTACATCTATTTGGAACTGGGCAATAGGCTGGGCACTAGGGATACAAAGTCACCTAGTCCCACCCTTCCCCCAAGAGCTTGCAGTTTAATGGGGATCAGTGTTTAATCACCTTGAGCAGAGAGCAGTGTAACTGCTAAGAGCACAGGTTCTGGAGCCAGCCTGCTCAGACATGAATCTCAGCTCATGCGTTTCCTGTGTATGACCTGGTCAACTTTCTTAACCTCTCCGTGCCTCCATTTCCTTATTTTCAAATGGGGTCCATCTCATTTGGATGATATGAGAATTAAATGCGTTGATAAACAACTATAGATCATTGAAACGTTTTCTGGATGGTATTAGACAAGTGAGTTTTTAAAGAGTGATATTTTGGGAGAGTCTCATCTCTCAGTCAAACCAGGGCAACTATCTTCAAAGGTTTTATAAATTAGGCATCTGTGTAACATTTCATTTGAAGAAAAGTTTCTACTGCATATGCAAACAAACACAAGAAGTTTAAATATCAAGGCTTCTGGCTTCGTATAAGAGAATAGTTTCTTGATTAAAATTATGTCTAAACTCAGGCAGATTGGATCATACCTGGCTACGATCTATACTCTTACAGAATCATCATGGATGATGGAACTGTCCACAAGACTGAGGTAAGTAACTATTACCCTGCTTGAGAATCACCAACTCAACAGGGCATGGAAAGCCACATGCCCAGCTCCTTCATTTATGGAAGGAAGGGGTGAAGTGGTAATAAAAGCTTATTAGGAAAGACCCTGCTCTGGCCACTGGGTTTGGCCCTTTCTAGACCACTGTGTCCTGGGGTTTGCATGGATGGAATACTTAGAGTCTGATTTGATTGATTGACTCGAGTTTAATGTTTTTCATCATTAATATTTCTGAGTGTACTTCTAAAAGATAAGGACTTTAAAAACACCCACAATACCATTATCACAAGGACAGTTCACACTAATTCCTTAATGTAAAACATCCAATTAATGTTCAAATTTTGGACTTTGACACAAGGTTTAAAGTCAAGCTGATCCGGTTTTTGTGACCTTTGAAATATTATATAACCTTCCTGGACCTCAGATTCCTTAGCTGTGACCTGGGGAAGAATCTAATATCATTAGAGTTGTGAATATTGGATACATTTTATGAAGTCCTAGTATGATGCAGTGTATGTTAAGCATTTAATAAACCACTGTTGAGATGGTGGAAAGAAGTGCCCGGCACATGGCAGATACTTAATAAGTCTTACTTATTAAGTAATACTAATAGCCAGTATTACTAAGCAAACAATTTTTATATAGTAAATGCTAGGTCCATAGACAGGAGACCATGCCTAAAGGGCTAGGAAACAAAAACCTTACAGAAGAGGTGGTAGTAACAAGGCAGATGGACAAGACCAAGTGGGGCAGGGAAAGGGCACTCCAGATGGAGGGAGAACTGAACTAAAGGATGGGCAAGCCACTGGCTCCCAGGTGCCTTTCTAGAAAGGGTACAAAAATACCTCTAGAGAAAGAAATATGATGCCTGTAGTTTTCCCACATTATTATGGGGAAAATACCTCTAGAGAAAGAAATATGTTTGGCTGTAGTTTTCCCACATTATTATGTAATGGGTAAAATGCAAAGTGGTCTGGCTCCTGTTTTGGACATGCAATCTCTGGTTCTAGTTTTTTTTTTTCTCGAGACAGAGTTTCACTCTTGTTGCCCAGGCTGGAGTTGAGTGGTGCAATCTCTGATCACTACAACCTCTGCCTCCTGGGTTCAAGAGATTCTCCTGCTCCAGCCTCCCAAGTAGCTGGGATTACAGGTGCACACCAGGTGCCTGGCTAATTTTGTATTTTTGGTAGAGATGATGTTTCACTATGTTGGCCAGGCTGGTCTCAAACTCCTGACCTCAGGTGATCCACCCATGTCAGCCTCCCAAAATGCTGGGATTACTGGCTTGAGCCACCGTGCCCTGCGTAATCTCTGGTTCTTAATTTGAACATGTCACAGGGGAAAAAATTGCTGTGTATAATCTCCACTGTCTTCAAGGAGGGTGAATCTTGGTAACTAGATAATCTTTTGTTTTCTAATGACAAATTCCTCAATCTCAGTATAAAGCATTAAGTATGCAAACTTAGAAAATGAAACTGGGAAAAGTGAAATAGCTTTACATAAAAAGGGAGAGATGGGAGAGGTACCAAGAAGATGAAGGAGAAAAGGCAGTATGCTGGAAGGGAGAGAGAGAGGAGACCCCACCCCTGGGGATGTGGGAGCTGGGGAAAGGCACACAGTGTCCTTAAGCTGATTTCTGCTTTGGACTTTTGGAGTTCAGTAAAGCCAATTGGCCCCTTTTCAAAATTTTTAAACACACAAGAGATACAGGATTTTTAAAAACAGTTATAGTAAAATAGTAATAAAAAAATTTTAAATCACATTTGTTTGGGGGGAAGAAGTGGTGAATAGGTAGAGTACTGGAGATTTTTAGGGCAGTGAAACTATTCTGCATGATACTGTAATGGTGTAGCCACCCAACTGGTTCCTCTGGCCCGCTGCATGGACAGCTGATTTATCAAGACAGGAATTGCAATAAAGAGTAATTCCCACAGAGCTTGCTGTGCAGGAGACAGGAGTTTTATTATTATTCACATCAGTCTCCTAGAACTTTTGGGGATCAGAATTTTTAAGGATAGTTTGGTGGGGGGTTGGGGGCCGGTGAGTCAGGAATGCTGATTAGTTAGGTCAGAGATGAAATCACAGGGAGTCGAAGCCTTCCTCTTGCCCTGAGTCAGTTCCTGAGTGGGGGCCATGAGACCAGATGAGCCAGTTCATTGATCTGGGTGGTGGCAGCTGATCCATCAAGTGCAGGGTCTGCACAATACCTCAAGCACCGATCTTGGGTTTTACAATAGTGATGTTAACCCCAGGAGAGATTTGGGGAGGGTCAGAATCTTGTAGCTTCCAGATGCCTGACTCCTTCACCATAATTTCTAATCTTGTGGCTAATTTGTTAGTCCTCCGAAGGCAGTCAAGTCCCCAGGCAGGAAGGGGTTTTGTTTTGGGAAAGGGCTGTTATTATCTTTGTTTCAAAGTTAAACTGTAAACTAAGTTCCTCCTAAAGTTAGTTTGGCCTATGCCCAGGAATAAACAGGACAGCATGGAGGTTAGAAGCAAGATGGAGTTAGGTCAGATCTCTTTCACTGTAATCATTTTCTAGTTATAATTTTGCAATCGGGGTTTCAGTGGTGGGTAAATGATATTATACATGTCAAAATGCATAAAATGTACATCACCAAAAGTGAACCCTAATGTGCACTATGGACTTTGGGTGACAATGCTTTCTCAATGTTGGTTCATCAATTGTAACAAATGGTTACTATTCTGGTGCAAGATACCCATGGTGGCGAAGGCTAGGCATGCATGTCGGGGAGGGAACATGGGAACTCTGTACCTTCCACTCCATTTTGCTGTGAACCTAACAGTACTTTAAGAAATAGTTGGTATGTTTTTAAAATCCTACATTTGTACTATACTAATAAATACATTTTTTTATTAACACTTAAGAAGCTCTAGCACTGAGTCTAACTACCATCATTCAAATTAGTGATGACTATAAACAATATTTCAAGATATCCAAAACTATTGTAATGCGACATGAAAATGACTCTGATTTCTACTGGTGAAAAAAATCACAAGTACTGCTAATTCTATTGTGGTTTATTACATTGATAATGAAAGGAAATGCTAAATTTCAATTACAAGTAATTGAAAATGAAGATGGAAATTATTTTCCATCCCAGCTCAGTGACCACTTCCTCAAATGTCATCCAGGACACCCTTCGGGGAGGAGGGTATCCTATGGATCCCCGATTACGGACGCTCTGTCTAGACCTAGAATACAATTGGTCCAATTTCCTTATCTCAAAGACTATTGCTATGTTCCATTTTTGTCTTCTAAGGTTTTAACAACTCATCTGTTTTTCTCTTTGTTGTCTGGCAAGTAATGCCAGTGATTTCTAGAGCCAGGTGACCCCTTGCATATTCCCAGTGTCTTCTGAAATCAAACCTGCCCGTGACATGAACTGAAGCAATGTCCTGAGACATCGTAGCTTATTGCTGAGAAGAAGGAGGGAGTACCACTTATGGGATCTTCAAACTTCCTTTTTTTTTTTTTTTTTTTTTGAGACAGAGTCTTGCTCTGTCGCAGGCTAAAGTGCAGTGGCACAATCTCGGCTCACTGCAACCTCCTAGGTTCAAGCCATTCTCCTGCCTCAGCCTCCCAAATAGCTGGGACTATAGGCATGCACCACCATGCCCAGCTAATTTTTGTATTTTTAGTAGAGATGGATTTTCACCACGTTGGCCAGACTGGTCTCAAACTCCTGACCTCAAGTGATCCACCTGCTGTGCAGGAGACAGGAGTCTCCCAAAGTGCTGAGATTATAGGCGTAAGCCACTGTGCCCAGCCTGGGATCTTCAGACTTTCTAGTTGTCCTTTCATGTTGGGTGCTGGAAAGATGTCTCTCCTTCGTTGGTTACTAATAACAATTTGTACTGTGTTTATGGTACTTTTGAACTTCAAAAGATTTGGCCAGTATTAATAGCTAATGATACTTCAGTTCTAATGTTGACTTGTTGAGGGTAGGATTGCTTTCTCTGGTGAATGTTGCCCCACTATTTCTGAGATCTTATTGAGGTGAATAAAAGGGAAATATGCCCAGGGACAATTAAACTATTGTTGACCCAGATAGTGTCTACTACTCACATGGAAGATGTGCCCCTCAGGCTAGTGATGGCATATAACTATGTGGATAAATGAATCCATTTCTTCCTCACTGAGCCCCAAATCCTCCTCAAGACAATATTCCTGGTGATATGGACAGGAGGCAGGGAAATCCTGGGTAGAAGTGGACAGCCCCCAGTGAGGGCCACACCCTCAAGCCTGGGACCATGGCCCAAAGTGACAACATGCATTCCTGTTTTCCCACCCAAATGTTGCCTTTTACAAGACCACCCGGCCTGCCCTCCCCTTGATTCTGTACCTAGAAAATCCCCAGGCTCCAATGGCAGAGGTGCACCAGAGTGGCTGAGAGGCAGAGTGGAGCAGCAGAAAAGGAGAGAAGAGAAGAAGCAGCCAGACATCAGAGAGAAGCAGCTTGACTTCAGAGGGAAGTTTGACAGTGGGACTTTGGAGAAGAGTTCAGCTGAGGATGGCCAACTCTGCGGTAAGTTCACCTTCCCACTTCATCCCCTTCCCACTCCCCATCCTATTAAGATCCACTTCTACCGCTCAGTAATATCCTTTACATTTGCCACCTCTCAATTTGTTCATGCAGCCTGATTCTTCCTGAACACCAGACAAGAACTCGAGTACCAAGAGGGTGGGTGCAAAAGACTGTCACCCTGATGCTCCACTAAGCTGTTAAACACTTAAACCATCCATGGGTGACAAAGCTAAAAGAAAACACTGTAACACACAGCCTCTGGGGCTTCAGGGGTCACAGGTAGCCTACTAGATGCTGCTGTGGGGCCTCATGGAGTTCTACTGCTGCCAATGCCCAGAAGCACTCCTCCCGGTCCCTGCCCCTGCTCACCTGCATGCTCTCCCTCGCCTGCCCCCCACCCCCCATGAGGGGTTGAGAGCTGCAGGCTGAGTAAAGGAGCCAACCCCTTTGTGATCCCCGCAAAGGGGTCAAGGGAACTATCCCGTGTTTCCCTGGCAGTAATGGGTATTAATAAATTAAAATAAGTACTTGCTAAAGATGAAATATATTTGCTTCAACTTTATGCCTGAAAAAGTGTCACTGTTAAGTAGTCATTTATTTATCTCCATTTTCTCCTGGATAAAGCCTAGGTTTCTTGTTATGGCATTCAAGGCCTTCCGTGAACTCATCCCAGCTCATCTTTCCACCATCATCTTCTACCTCAAAGCCAAACTCTATGCTCCACCTTTTTCTAAAAGCAAACTGATCTCTCACATCCTGTTCATTTTGCTCAGGCCAGTCTTTTTACGTGGCTTTCTCTTGCCTTGTTTTACTCCATTCTTTGTACCCCTAGGCACATATCTCCCCCCAGCCAACCCTTCTTGAAGCCAATCCTTCTGTTATTCACTGCTCCCTCCTGTGTACTTGCGTTATAGGCTTCTTATGACCCCTTTGTCTCACACTGCCTTGAGTTGTCCTTAGTTATGGACCTCTCTATTCCTAGGTGGGCTGTAAGCCCCCCAGTGGTTGGGGACCACATTCTGTATTCCACCCTAACACCTACTTGCATGTAGAAGACACTGGAAAATGTTTATATGAAAGAATGGATTATTCTACATTGTTCACCCTTGAATTCCCTTTGAACTGTGTTTATGATTAACAAACACTAGAGGAGATCACCTCTGTGTAACTTATGACTGCATAAAAACAAGACTCTTCACACGCCACCCATCCCTCATTTCCATTTTCATCTTCCATTCCAGTCACACCTTCCTAGAATCCCTCTAACCCAAACATACCAGGATGTGGCAGGGCTCTCCAATCCCTGGTGCCCTTTTGTATTTCCAGATTTTTGTTATCCTGGACCTTCTGTATGGCATGTCCTTTCTCCTTATCTGTCTAGCAAACTCCTACTCATCCTTCAAAGCCCGGTAAAATATCCTGTGAATCTCATAGGCTTTCTCATCCTACCAAGACAGAATTAATTGCTCTCATATTTGTTTTCTGTCAGTGCTTAAAATAATGCCAGCTGCCATAGTCAGTGCTCAGTAACTAGTTGTTGAAACTGAATCCATTGCTCCAAGTTCTTTGTTTATAGCACAGTTTCAGTTAGAAGAAAGAATGCCAGTCAGCAACTCAGGCTCTCAGATCAGTCTTGCTAAAGCAGAGTACCATAAGTGAGGAAACAGGATGTGAGTAGGATTCAGGGAGCTGATGCCCCTGAAGACTTAATTCTCTGTGCATAATGCTCCAATTGTGTGCAAATGCTTGAAACAGGAAGGAAGGAATGAGGAAGGAGAACTTGTGAGGGTAAGAAAAGGGAAGGAAGGAAAGAAGGAAGAGAAGTTCTGAGAGTACGAAGACAGAAGGAAGGAAGGAAAAAAGGAAGGGGGAACTTGTGAGGGTAAGAAGAGGGAAGGAAGAAAGGAGGGAGGGAAGGAGGGAAGGAGAGAAAGAAGGAAGGAGAATTTGTAAGGGTAAGAAGAGCCAAATTGTTTAAGCCTATAATCTGAGTACAGTTTAAGATATATGCCCTTACTGTTAGAGCTTAAAGCCAGAATGTCATAGACCAAGCTCATAATTTAGTTTATGGGTGATCTTTATGGTAATAAAAAAAATCTAGAAAGAAACTGCCTGGCACCATTTGCTGAAGATGTTTTTTAATACTGTCAAATGATTCGTAATTATAAAGGGTGAATGTACCATGTTTGCTCTGTAGTGGTTATGCTGAGACTCATTAAGTACTTTCTGCATCTAAGAGTCCTGTTTTATGTAAACAAGACCTCTGAGGAATATATAGATGGGTAATAAAGATGAAAGGAAATGGAGTATATTAACGTGAGGACAAATTAATAACGGCCTTTCCATCCTCTAACAGGAAAATCAGTTACTATGGAATAATTGCACTTTTCCATGCAAAGGGGAGCAAAAATCCAGACAAAGCAATAGACAGAAGACAGACAAAATCAGACAGGGTTGCTGGGTCAAACTACTTTATGGAGATAGTCTGCACTTCGGGAAATTTATCTGCTTGCCTGCCTGGGCTGCTGATGGGACTTGCAGAGAGCTTTTATTTGGCCACAAATGAAATCAACTTTAAAGTTTATTAATGAACAGTGGGGCATGAAGAAGTGCTCTTCTTCACGAAGGGACAGGGAGAAGAGGGTAGGAGAATACAAGTGCTGAGATGGAAGGAAAGATAAGATAACAGAATCACTGTCTTGCTTCTCTTCACATAAAAGAGTTGGAGCCTGTATGTTGAGATTTGGTTGAAATAAATACAGCATTGATAAGACAAGGCTGAGCTAACACTGGTAGATCCCTTTTCCTATCAGCAATGTACTGTCTGAATTCCTAGACAAATAAGTCAGCTAAACTGCATTTCCAACTGACCAGACCCTATATAGGTCACCGTAATATACAAAGTATAACACAGCAAAGATGCCCATTGGGTCACCCAGATCTTTAGTTGGCTCAAGCCTGTTTGTCCAGAGTTGGCAAGTAGAGAGCTCCAAAGGACCTGCCCGTTGTCACTGAGTTTCAGGTGTTTCCACCCCAAAGATGGCCTGCTTTCTCAACCTTCAGGCATTTCTCTAATCCTGGCACAGAGCTGACTTGCTGCCTACTGGGCTTCCAAAACTCCAGATCACCTCTGGTGCATTGCCCCCATCAGGGCTGGAACCAGGATGAGAGGCAAGCCAGACTGTAGGGTGGGAGGGGTAAATTTAAGGAGGCACTCCATCTCAGATTCCAAACCTGCTTTCATACTTCCTTGAGAATAAGTTCTTCCTTAAATTTTGCACCCAGGAGCTTCCCTTGCCTCACCCTAGTCCGGGCCTTTGACTCCAGAGTCTCTGGTGAGGGATCTGTGGATTGTGTTAATTCAGGAAGCCTCACAGCCAGATCACTCTCATTCTTCTCGATAGTTCTTCTGTTTACCTCAACTAACTTCTCTCTATATTAGTCATTTTAAAGAATCTGAAGACCAGAAACCTTGCATGCATCTTAAAATGCAGAGCAAGGGGCCCACATTGCTTTCTTGTTGAGCTCAGAGGGGGCTGACTATACAAAGGCTGAGACCAATCCTGGAGCCATCCTGACTAACCGAAGACCAAGACATCCCAGGGACTCAGGGCTGCTCCTCCAGGGCTGGCTTAGAAGGGCCATGCTTGTTTATAATGCTCTGCTGTTAGAGCCTTGACATTTTAAATTATTTTGAAACAAAGGACCCTGTATTTTTATTTTGGTTTGAATCCTGCACATTATGTATTATAGTTGCTCCTGGCTCCACTTACAACACATTAAAAATATCTGGGATGTCAAATGCCCCCTGCCCCTCTAACACTCTTCTTGATTGTTATTGGAGTACACACAAGTCTTTATGATGGTGTATAAAACCCTGCTTTGTGGGGCCTCAATTCACTCTCCAGCCCTGGGTTGTGCCAATTTCCTTCTTGCTATCTGCACTCTGGCCTTCTTGCAGTCCTCAACTGCACCACGTCCCCTCTTACCGCAGGGCCTTTGCCCAGTCTGTTTTCTCTGCCTGGAATACTCTTCCCCAGCCCCACTCCCCAGATCTGGCTCCTATTGCTTGCTTGTCCTTCAGTTCTGAGATCAGACCTTAATTTCTCAGGAAAGCACTGACCCACCAGGCTAAACTGAACCCCATGTTGTATATTCTCATGGTGCTTCTTCAGCATCTACCACAATCTGTAATTAAATCTCTGTATGATCATTGGATTAGTGTCTCAATTACCACGTGGTTCTACATGAGGCAGGGACTGTGTGTCTTCTGTTCACTTTTGTAGGTTCAAGGCCTAGCACAGTGCCAGGCACTTACAGCAAACACTCAGTAAACAGTTGTGAAAGGGAAGGATAAGGGAGAAGCCCAGGGTAATCCTGTCTGGAGATGTTGTGGGGGGAGGGGGTGGAAGGGAGGGTGGGAAGAGGTTATTGAGGTGAGAGGTGCACTGAGGGGAGGTAACCTCTGGAAGGATCTGAAGCGAAGCTGAATGTCCTTTGCCTGTTGACTTCCAGGCTCAGATACCTGATGCTCCCAATCTGGTCATCCTCAGAAGCCAGATCAGCTCCACACTAGCGTCTGGTGAGGAGAGATGATGAATGAGCAAAGTTTAATCACATTGAATTCAATTCACTGATGGTCAACCTAGATATCTCAATAATTAGGGGAAAATATACTGTGTGTTGGGAATTTCTAATGAGCCTGCGAGGTTTCAGTTTGCAGTATGGTCTGTGAAGCATTTTAATCGTTAGAGTTTTCATCTCATCTTTGCCTTCCTTATGTAGTGATATGCTTCCCTTTGGGGACTTTATTCCCTTTGATAGACTTGTGAAAGCATTATTTTTTTCTAACTCTGTGGTGTATGTAGCTTATTTTGTCTCTTTGCTTCCTTTATCTTTTCTTTTGCAAGCCACCGAAAGTCATGTGTTCGCCTTTGATTTCTTTCTATGGTCCCACATACCTTTATGTAGATTTTTTTCCTTGTGATCTTTGAAATATC